CATGCAGACGAAGTCCTTAGAATAGGGAGGCATCGATTGGAGTGAGGAACATTGTAAATATCTCTGTGTACCACTCCACCAATTTCGCAAGAGCACGTCTTGCTGGTCTAATGTTACTAACAATTAAAAAAACAAAAACAAAAAAAAAACGTGTGTTTTGATGGTTTGTTTGTGACATGTAAATTTTTGCAAGAGGCTCGCAACGTTTTTCTGATTGCGAAGATTATGCATGTGCTGCAAGTCCTACATTGTGCCCACGTGAATGTTAAAAAAATTCACAGAGTTTGTGCTTTGTTCATTTGGAAGTCCAGATCAGAGCCGATGAGACTAAATAACCTTTTTCGACGCATTTCACTTGGTGGCACCGGCTTACCACACCTCTACGTTAGACAACTTCTGTTACGGTTTTTCTTTCTACGGGATCAGGAACAGCCTCATCAATAGTGACAGATGGGCCAGTTGGTACATGATCTCCTCTGACAAAATGCGCCGCAAGACAGGGACAGCGTATAAGGGAAACAACACGACACAGGAACAACCATTTGTGCGTTCGATGATACAAACTAAATTAGCATGTCACTTTCCATCATTTCTGGCTTCATCCGTTAATTTGAAACCTATGATAACCGTAGGTTTTCTGAGGCCCGCTTCAGACGCGGCAATTTTGACCAGCAACTTGACGTCGCAACACCAGCAACACGGGCCGCCCGCGTTCACACGCAGGAACCGAATTGCTACGACTTGCCATCATCATCATGAAATTTGATTTTTTGTGCACTTTTTAGACGCACAGCTACGCGCTAAAACGTGTTTTTTATATTTTTGAATAGCGTTGAGAAACTCATCTTTCTGAAAAGTTTTGTTTCTAGGGGTGTGCGAATATTGAAATTTTCGAATACGAATCGAATACGAATAAGACAAAACACGGACTTTGAATATCAAATCGAATATCGAATATGTGTCTAGTAATAAAAAAATGCAAAACAAGAGGTAACAGCAGGTTTTATTTCCTTTTTAAAATAATTCAGTGCGTCTGCATTTTATTGGGCTGCAGCAGGCTGAAGATACTTCTAGTAATGCACTCATTACAAATTATCGTGTAGGAAAATTCTGAGTTATTATAATGTACGCTAAAGGTTCAACTGGCGCTAGTGTCTATGCGACTTCCGTGACGGAAATTGAAGCAGGGTTCTAGAGCATAACCGCATCCCCAAGGTCGAGAACATCAGGGTTCTAGAGCTGTGCATACAGGCAGACGGAAAGAACGGGGAGATGACCCAGGTCCTGGGAGGGACGGCCTGTCAGGTCGCCCGGCGCATCACCGGGATCTTGAACAGGAACTATGGGATGGAGAAAAGCCCGCATATAGTTTGCACGGGCGCGTGCAAACTAGGCCGTCATTCCTTTCATCTCTGAGGACATTTTTAGTTCTTTTTTTCGATGCGAATACGCATCGAGTCGTACTGTTTAGTGGTAGACTGCTCCACGCCTATACATGCAACTCAAAGTTAACTTAGTTTTTTTTTTTTGAAAGTTTTGTGTTTTTCTAGAGGAAACTGGTGCCCTGGGGCAATATTTTTCAGGCGTTGCAAAGAGCTCAAATCGGTTTCAGATAGCATGGACCTCAAGCACAGTTGACGGATGTCGCTCTATTAATGAAGATTTGTTCAACCCTGGCAGAATAACTGCATTGACTTTCTCAAAACTATACCCTTCAAGCTTCTCGGCACTAAACAAAATGTTTACCTCGGCTGCGACAACGAAACAAAGAAAAAGAAAAAGAGATTGTGAAATGAAGTTGGCACCGTTTGTGTTCTCCATTCAACGTCTGCAACGTAAGTTTTCGCCGCCGCCGACATCGAAGTTTTAGCCCCTGCGATGAACCTAAGTCGAGCGCCACGTTCGGATGGTATCGAACGTGGCGTTCGACAAAAAAAGCGAGCGAAATCCCGTCTTTGTGAGTGTTGAGCAAACAGACACGTCGCCCGTGTCTGTTGTGTTTTTTATTCTATGCATGACCGCGCTTTAAATATTCAAGAATATTATATCAACAAACTCTCCCGTTTAGTTTTAAAGGTGTTTTACAAACCTCGTTTACCGACACCAGATCGAGTGGATAGAAATAGCTCCAAAGCAATGAAATTGTACTCTGGCTTTCCAAAGTAATTTTTTTTGTTTTTAATCTATGAAATTAGAATATGGGCTCTGTGGTACTTTCAGCTTTTGTTCACTGTTTACCCTATACATATTCAATTATGGTTGGTGGTGCAGATTATTAAGACTGTCATCTTTCTGCCTCGTTTAGCAGCTTTGGTATCGTCCGTATACATTGAGCTGCTTGTGCATCCAGCGGAGGCAACGGTGGTGCCTCCGAAGCCGGTGCCTGCGCTGGACTTCGTGCTCCAGATTTTTCCGCTTAGAAAAGGGCGTGGCACAAACTTCTATCATATTTTTAGTAGGGAAATAGACGTCACACGAGCATAACGTTTTGATTTCTGGGATGCTACGATCCCGTAGAATGAGTTATCACCAAGAACATACGACCACAGAAACGTCTTTAGTGCACATTTAAACGGACACTGACAGAATATTTATGCTCGCCAAGGTTTTTACTTGTACATGGCACATGAGAGCCCAACTACCTAGAACACAATTTGCGGCTTGAAATTCGTTTTCTTTCCGCCCGAAAACCACCGATCGAAAACTGGCCGGTTTGAGTCGCACTCACTTTCTTCCCCGTGGTCACGTGCCGTTTTCTAATGTTTAGACACAACCATCAAATATAATCAAAGTCGTGTGGGTCATCGAAAGCGCACACTTAAAGTTAAGAATAGAAAATAAATAAGATACCCATTTTTGTGGCTTCCGAAAAGCCGAAAACATCATGATTGAAAAAAAAAAAAAAAAAGTTGCACAGCACGCGATTTTTGGCAACTTTCTCCTCCCCTAAATTTCCTCTTCCTCCCCAGTCCAGTTTCGGTTTCGGTTCCGAGCAGTTGCGTTTTTTGACTTTATTAAAAATATACGTGACGCTTAGTAAGATATTGATTGGGTAGTCTTCTGAAACCATAATAAATCGCCTGGCAAAAAAAAAAAAAAAAAAAGGGGGGGGGGTTTAGTGTGTTTTTAAAAGTAAAGCAAAAAGCAACGTCAGAAAATATCAGTCACGGTATCAATACTGTGATACCGCAATGAATGCAATAGCGAATATATTCGATTGAAGAAATTGCAGTCGCACCCTGTCTTCTGACGCAACAAGAAGACTACAGTATGAAACACAATCTCTGGTACCACATAGAATAGGTTTTCAAAAGTTATAAACAAAATTTTTGTCTTTTTTTTTTATTAATTACAAATTTAGCATACGCTTAGAATTTAAATTTTTATTTGTTTAGAAACAAAAATGAATCATCCTAGCTTTAGAGCGAACTTTTCATTAGTGTGAGATGCCAGAAACTATTTAAACTAACTAACGAAGAAAGTGAGACAGAGGAAAACGTAAAGTAACATGCAAGTATGCGTCAAAATGCTGGGAATGAACCGAGACAACCACACACCGCCGCACCAGTACACATGCGCACACGTGGACAAACGCTCTGACGGATGGACGATCATGTGCAGCTGATCTCAACACACCAGAAATGAACATGTATTCCTACCATGTATGCTCAACACTGTTCAGACGCGCGGAAGATGCATATCAGAGCTCTGGGTGATGCTCGCTTGGTCGAACGACGTTTTAGCGAATCAAGTCCCTCCCACGACTTTTGATCGATACACTGAGCGAATTCGGCGTGTACGGGTGAGTTGAGAATGTTTATAAAACCGTCGTTCGCTAAAACTTCATTCGCTCATGTGATATCCACGGAGTTCGTCTCCTTTGTGCACGCACAGAGAAGGATCACGTACGGCGCCGATTGGTTCAGCCGATGATAGCACAACGAGTACTTAAAAAAAAAAAAAAAAAGGATTAATTTAGCAGTCACTTCTCCTTTCGACTTTTCTCTCGCGCGCCCTTTCCTAGCAGTTGCACGGAAGTTTTTTTTAGAGCTGTGCCAAGGCGGTACGCGAGAATTTGCAAACCTCCCGTCAGTTCTCCTTTACGTCAATGGAAGGAGGAGCCAAGGAGCTAAGCGGCGTGGAGAGGGGACAAAACTGTTCGTGCACTGATGCCACTCGCTGAAGAAAACAACGGTTTCGCGCAAAATAATTAATAAGCTTCTTTTTTTTTTTTTTTGTGCTTTTAGACAAACTAGGCGGTGTGTATCCCCCTTCGCCCCCCTAGGGGGTGGGAAGGGAAATCACTGGTCCGTCCTCGCTGGCGTCTCCTCGTCATCCCCTTCGACTGCTTCGCGTGTATGCGCTTGGGACGAACCGCGGACATATCGTCACGTGATCAATCCGTACGCGGATCAGCCAGTCGTGTGAATCGGCCATTACCGTTTCGAAAACAGGCGTCAAAAGACTCTGGGTCGGAAGACCCTCCGCTTTTTGAGTTGGCGGGGAAAAAAACCATCTCCGACGTTCGCACGAGGCGTGAGCGCGGGCACGCGTGCTCCATTTGATCCAAGTTTGGCTCCCCCCGCGCGGCGCTCTGGTTGGTCGTGACGTGCTAATCTACGTTATCTTATGACAGAGCAGCGTCGGTTCATGTCGCACGCTAGGGGACGAATAGGAGCGCCACGAGGCAGGCTGCGGCCAATGAGATGCTGAGCTTGAGAGTTTTCTCTCGCCACCCTCTCGTTCCCGTGCAAGGCCCGTAGGAACATGGCGGGTGAGCTCGGTGTTGTGTACGCCGCTCGGGCGGTTCTCTGTGGCGATGGCGCGACTCGTCGCTGGCTTCGAGCTCGCTAATTGCGAGCCTTTTCAACGCTGCCCGTTTTGCAGGGATGCCCGAAGACGGCGGCGGCGGTGGTGGCGGTTACGCCCAAGGCCCGCGTGAGTACGGTGGGGGCGCATGACGCTTCTTTGCTCCGGTGACCCTTCGCCGTATTCGTATTCGGCGGAGTGACTAGCAGGGGCTAGCGCAAGAGGCGGTCGCTCCACCTAGCTAAGCCTACTTGGGGTACCGGTTAGGCCTAGTGCCGTCTGCGAAGCTACGCGCGGCGCGCGTGGTGCTCGCCCGCGCGCCTCGTTGGAGCTGCTCCCCGAATGCCTGAGCTGGGCTTCGGCTGACCGTGCCGTCGTCTAGGTCGACTCGAGGTCGGCGCGCGGCATTCGGAGGGGTGAGGCGCCTCGTTCGATGTTGACAACCCGGGGGTCAATAAACACCGGGCTCTCTCCCCCGTTTTCTTTCTGTCCATCGGACCCCCTCGCCCTTCGACTGCTGCGCTGTTTCGCGCGAACACTCGCTGGGTGACTGCCGTTCGTCGACTTCACCACGGTTCTGACACTGGACGTGTTCCTCGGCAGGCCTCCGTCGCCTGCTAATGGGTGAGAGTGCGGTGCTAGTTGAGTGTTATCGCGTCGTTGCTGAGTCTTGTTTCTTGGGCTCGTCGGGGAACGACAGTCAGCTCGAGAAAGCCTTTGTGCTCCGAAGCGTCGGTGCTCGCAGTTGGCGATTCTCAGTGTGGGATCGGACCCCCGAAAAACCGTAGCCCCCGCAAACCTTATTAGACGCTGGTTTGGCGGCGTGCTCATCGTGTCGCTCCAGCGATCCTGTGGGCCACCCACGACCGTCGCCCTCTTAACGGTCGCGATGGGGTCGCCTTGCAAGCGTTAACAAAGAGTTTGTCGTCCTGCGGGCTTGTCTGCTCTACGGCCCCGCGGTGATTGACAGCCGCTCCCCATTGTCTCTCTGGCGACGTCGGGACGCCAGCTTGAGGCCTGCTAGGCTCCGATCGTCCCCATCATTCCGGATCTTAACCCTAAACGTCCCCCGAGCTGTAGCCCGTGCGCAGCCCGACCCTTCGGAAGATTGCTTTGTCTTTCGCATTTGCGCGTGGAGTCTAGGGTTGGGACAGTCGGTTCGCCACTTTGCCAATGTTTCCTCTGGGGACGTCGGTTTTTGCCGCGTATCCGTTGCCGGCGACCTCTGAGGCTTTCCAGTGTAGGCCGTTTTCGCACGCGGGCCGCGTAAGTTGCCTGGAATGCGGCCGGAGCGCTCTGCGCGCCAAAAGGAAGCTGCCGCCCCGGTGTCGGGCTGGAAGTGGCCCGGGGTGTCTGCCGGGAGAGCCGTCGCTAATCGAGTTACGTGCTTCCAAAGCGCTCCCCGATCGCTGGGCGGGCCTGGTATAGCAGTCTCCCGTTCACTGCGGCTGCGCACCAGCTCGAACTCTTGCTTGGACACAAATATCGGCCTCTGCGAGAGTCTAGGGCTCCTCTGCCTACCAAAGTTCGTGGGACCTGGTCGCACGTACTCGGAGGCGTGGCTGCCACGAGTGTCGGATGTGGTGGGTTTTTTGGGAATTGGAACGTGAGCTTTGCAATAATTTTTCCAGGGACGGGCGAAGCAGACTCCACAGTCACGCTGCAGCAGGAGGAGACTGACAACGGTGAGTGGCTGCTTTGCTCGCTTTTATTGCAGCTGCCGAGTGGCGCCCGTTCTCGAGACGGTTCTTGCACCCGGCAGCCTCCCTTTTCTGTGCTCCTAGTCGGGCGCTGAGCCACGATGCCTGCCCACGCTAGGGGCCTGTTTGCGACTCGGTTGGGTTCCTGGCGCCTGACCAAACTCTCGAACCTCCCCAGCAGGGTTTCATGCAGTGGTGGAAGTTACACTTCCAGCACGATGGGTTTCTCCCAGAAATACTGTGTGCGACGGTTGCAAGCAATCTGTAGTTATACTGACCCCCGCCTAAGGTTTTGATTTCCCCAGTTGTGGGCCCTTGTTCGTTGCTGTCTCCTCGCACGTGTCTAAGTGTAATGTGTGCGACCAGTGGGGAAATCTTCTGTACGCTGCCCAAGAAGGGGTGTGTGCTCTGCGCATCCCGACAGGATTTTGTGTGGGAGGGAGTTCCCCTTTGGCAAAGCAGGAGCTTGGCATGTGGTTGTGCAGGGCTCGACGCGCATGGGTGTGTGCTTTGCATGACCTCCTTTGCCCCCTGTGCCGTTAACATGTGCAGTAATTCGTGGTCGACAGTTGGAGCCACTCTCCATCGTCCTTGGCAGACGCAGGGCGTGGCCTATTTGGCTTGTTGCTTTGTTCTCTGCTAATGCTGCAATTCCACTGACTGATCTCATAAGTTTCTTGTTTTGTCAGTGGCTGTAGCCTCGCTTTGGTCCCTGCTGTTGCTTGTACTATTTCATGCCATTGGGTTTGGGCACGTCGACGGGTATGGACTGCGGTGAATGTGCTTGCTGCACCAGAACCTTGTTTCTCAAGTTCTTTTTTGTGGCAGTTATGATCGTCTGCTTACGATGGGAGCGGGGTTTGTTCTCAAGTACGCCGAGGGAGTCCTGCGCTTTCCTTTGTGGGCCGTTTCAAATTGCATATTACAGACAGTGATTTGTGTGTCCTGCTGAGCTTTTTTGGGATTGTTTCTACGCTTGGTACTTTGGACTCCAACCCTGTAAACGAGGGTTGCAGTCTAAAGCGAAGCAGTATTTGACCGCTTTGTGAGATAAGAACGGGAGCCGGGGTGCGAGGGTGTGTCTTGAGATAATGTGCGAGGAATCTTCATTTGATTGAGTGGAGTTCTCCCAGGCGAGATGGAACCCTTCAAGGGCTCTGTGATAAGGGGCTCGGCATGGGGGCCATTGCTTTGTGCCACTTGTCCTTGGTGGCTGCTCAGTGGTCAAAAGCTCCGTGTGTCTTAGTTTTTGCCAGGGTTTCCGGGTTGGCCCTTAATTATATCTGCGGGTACTCCTTTTCGTGACTGTGGCCCCTTAAGTTTCATATGTGGTCTTTAGCCAATGAAGTACTTGCCTGTTTAGGACTGCACTGCAAATTCAAGACCCCCAGGCAGTTAGTTGTCCTTATGTGTGGAGAAGCCTTCTTGTGATTAGTCTAAGATGGAACTGTGAACAAACTATTTTAATCTAGAGGCGTTCTCAGGAACGCGGTTGGAGAAACTTGTCTCAAAATAACATTTATTACTATCCTCAGAATTGTTTGTTTATTTATTACTTATTAATGATATGAGGCACTTTCATGTGTGTTTTTTTAGTTATTTTATCAAAACATAAATTAAAACTGAGAATTTTTTCTCTTGCAAGCAAATCGCATAAACACTACTCTGTGCAGTACCTTTTTTTTTTGTATTGATAAATGTAGTAGTTTTTATTGCGACCTTTTTGCTGTGAACATGATGTGGAAGAAGCCGGAAATTGCTTGTTTGTTTAGGTTGCATTATACTCTGTACACGCATGTGATATGATTAGTGCTTCACCCAGCACTTCGGAAAAGAATGCTAGGCCGAGCTGGCTCAGTCCACTGATGTGACTGCTGTGCCAAAGTTCTTGCCTAGTTAGCATCCTGCTACATTTTGCCAAGGAGTAATGAATCTGTGCCGACGTTGCACCAAAATGCAATTTCACTATATTAACTAAAAAATGTACTAGCTAAGGCTCCGCTACATGGCCGTATCGTTACGGTACGCTTGTGCAAATTTTTAGAACTTTCAATTCTTTCCTGAAATAATGTAGTACTCAATTTGATATCTGTATAAAACGGTGACAGTACTTGGTTGGGTCGCACAATATTTCTCATGTTCATGGTCTGTTCTGGTTGGTTAGGCAGCTTCGTTGAGTGCGCTTCTACCCGTGGACTGGTGCATTGCAGTGAAGTGAGAAATGTGGAGTAGGCATAGCAATTTTGCATATCTTGCTTTGCCGCAGTGCAGCCACGTGCTAAGGGGAAGGTAGTTTTTTAGAGCAGGCTTCGTGCTCACAAGCGTTAAGTATACCAAAAAACAAACAAAATTGGTAAGTGTGTAACAACTCTACCGCGCAGTACAAAGTCCCGGATGGGACTGCGGCTAGTATATATGATAAACTGCGGTATTCTCAAGAGTTTCTTTTTCAAACTAGATTTAGCAACAATACTTGTGTACTGCAGGAAGATTTATATGGACAGGATGGCCCAGAATATGGTCCCACAGGCTGTCCCAAAAATATAGTCCCACTTTCCAAGTTCTCCCAGTAAGACATAGCATGGAATATTTCGTAACAGTGTTTATTCTCAATCAAGACCAAGTGCAATCAGTGAATTAAATGAGGAACTGCTCAGAATGGCCTCCTTTTGCCTTCACACAGGCCTTCAGATGCTTGTTCAACGAGTCCATTGTGGCCCGCATGTAGTCATCTAGTTCCTCCATGCCTTCGGCAGAGAGTCCGACGAAGGCGTGGGAGGAGCAATAAACGAAACTCGGACTACTTTCAATTTATCCGAATCAAAAGCAGTCCAACTGTACGTAAGGTAGCAGTAGCACAAGACAACCAAACCGCAACCTGTCTTTCAATTTAAAACGCGTTCCTTTTGTCATTTTGAGGAGGTGACCGTGAGAGGCAGGGGAGGGGGGGGAGGAGGCGGAGGCAGGTAGAGGAGGGAGTTGCGAGGCCGCTTTTTCACACGCAAAGAACCGCATGTGGCTTGCGAGCCGCAACTGGGCCACCCCTGGTGTTACAATGATTCCTCATTAATATGGACACCTCCGTTCTTTTTATGAAGCGTCCATTATGCGAGTTGTTCATAATAACGAGACCAAAATGCACAAGTTCAGCCAATTCGTCCTTGAAAATGTTGTCATATAATGGGGTATTCCTATTAACGAGGCAAGACTATACCTGACAGAAGATGGCGGGTGTTGCATGTGGTGTTTGAGACTTGTTTTGGAGTACATATTAATTGGTGGAGACTGCGTATGTACCCTAAAGCAAGTCTGCGACCAAGAATTGCCTTCAAGTATTTTAATACATAAATAACTTATCTGCCATAGTAGGCTTTTTGTTCTTGGCTCTTGTATTCTATGAAATTTGGGAGTAAACATTTGCTGTTCTTTCTCAAACTGGGCATGGGAGAAGAGTCCCATTTTTTTCCCACCAAGGTCATTATTTGGGAGTTTCCAGGTATATCGTTTACTTGGAAGGGAACAAAATGCTGACTTCCTTGCCCATAAAGAGGGTTTGCATAGCTAAGTGTTGCTCTTTTACTGAAGCTAACTTGGCATGGTGTTTCTGACTGAAATTAGGAGAGTCCTTTCAAAATTGTCTGCTTGTTAGTACATGTGCTAATTTTTAGTTCTACAAAAGCTTTTGAAGGTATGGTAAAGTAATTTTGGAGCCTGTTATATTAACTTGTGCATTACTTGAAAGTTGGTTATATGCGAACTTGGAGACGAGGGGTTTAATTCTAGCAGCACACTTTATATTCTAGGCAACCCACTCCATATTAAATGGGTAGTGATATATTTTCTATATACATTCGTTTCGTCGTCTAAATTCATCTCCAAGCTTAAAATAAGACAAAAATATAATTTTGGCTTTCCGTGGACAACCTTCAGTTCTTCAAATGCGTCGCTATACTTAGCCAATAGGAAATGTTTGTTGTCCTCGCACCACAGCCACACGGACCAGACTTGATAAGCAAAGTCTTGTGTTGCGCCAGCTGTGGTGCCATGATGTCACACATTCAAGTCAATGGGTGACATGAGACGCTTGATATTGCGCTCAAATATTAGTAAGGGTACCGACCCTTTGAGCTCCAGCATGGCCTGTTTCATCGCAGAAGGCTTTTAGGTTTAGAGTTGTACACCGACGCTGTATGCGATACAGTATGTTGTGCTATACAGAAGGGAACCGTTTGCAACTTTGATCGGTCGAGCTGCGCTTCGAGACAACCGTCGAATGACAAGCCGCGAATGTATTGTCGCTTTGACTCGATAAATGCTTTTCTGCTAGCAGACAGAGGACAAATGGGTGGAAGATAGAAGTGAAATGAGTTGCCTTTGCATACTTGAGGAGCGGCACGTCAAGTTACTGCTCAGGAAGGTTGTAGTACAGCTGAACTTTGATTAAAACGGGTAGTTCTTCAGCCGAAACCTTTGTTTAATCGTGAATTTCGTTGGAGTGAGGTTTCTGTTTATTAGCGTTGCAATGAACGTCTCAGGTTTCCGAAACAATTGCCTTCATTTCCTTGCACAGTTGCCTTGCAAATTAGCATTTACAAATAAGATTCCCCCACAAACTGCAGCGGCAATACGAGAATCGCATTCAAAGCCCTGATTTTGTATGGTTATGGGAGCAGTGCCTAGCACTGTAGGAAAGCGTGCAGTCGAGAGAGCCAAACAAAACATTTGCATCACCCCGATGTGGGCCACGCCTAGTGCACATACAGCTGACAGATGGTGCCATGCATAAAAACTGAGTTGTAGCAAAAATTCCTGCTATCATCATTGTTTATTAACACAGCAGGCTCATTTGTTTATGCCCACAGGTGGTTAAACCGGTCACCTACAGTCCCACATGACTCCCAGCGTTGTGGGCTTTGAGGCAACGAAAGTTGATCAAGCGAGCGCAACTAGAAGGCTGCCAAGCGTGCGGGAATGGCTACAACTGT